GGGCTGTCAATTTCCTGTTTGTAATCTAAAATGACTGAAAATTGCAAACTTCGCAAGGCTATATTTTCCGCATTTTACAACATTTCGCAACGAAACTTTGGAATATTACTAATTTTGTGATGCTCTTTCAAGCTGTGATGAAATTTTTGTTGAGATCAAAATTTAGTCTATTACGCAAGTGGTCAATTGAGATATTACTTTCTTAACTGTGTTTATCCTAACCCACCCTGTCAACTTTCCCTGTGGAAGGAAACCGGAGCACCCGGCTGACTCACATGAGTCCGTAGCGAGAATCAAACCCACGTTCTCAGAGGTGAAAGGCGCATGCTCTGATGACTGCCCCACTGAAGCTCCTTGGCCAGCAATCTAATTTGAAATCGTGCTTTTATTGTTTAGAGAAAAAAGTATTCGACATTGATTCCCGCTGCAACAAATGGAAAGTGCTGGGTTACTGTGATGCTAATTCTCACTCACTTTATATGTACAGAAGCTGCAAGTTTAGCTGCCCTAAGCTAGTTAAAGCTTTTACTGTGGGCGAGGAATAACCACACAGACTATAGTTAACTACCTAAGTATATACTAATATACTAACTAGTATTAACTACCTAAGTATACTTGCTACCAATACCAAGAGACAAAAATATTTTTGTATACTTAATTGTTTGTATACAGTAAAAGTTCACATCGTCATTTATAAAGATGAAATTGTAAAAATTAAGTGTAAAATAAAGTCCAAAAGAAACTTTCAATTTCTCACGGTGTTTTATTTTAGAAAGGTTTAAAATACCCCGGTCCTGGTTTACGCCGGCTATAGGTGATATACACGTACTTTTACCCGTAAGTCGGGGTACGACTTGCAAGTTAAGAAATCCAAGATATTCTGGCCGGGGTACGATATTCCGGAAAATAGTAACTTTTGTTGTTGAGGTTCACCATAGATTTGGGGAAAATTTGACGAGCAAATGTGCATTGATTTTTTTAGGTAAGATGTTGAAGTATTTCACTACTTGAACGGCCCACAAGTAGTAAACAGAAAATCTCCCTTACCCGTTTGTCTTTTACGTGTAGACTATGGTTTATGGCGGGGAAAGGGGTAGAATAGTACGGGTAAACATGCTGACATTATTATTTTTGTTCTGACACTGTCGTTTTACTATTGACCGACATATGCTGTACTTTAATTCGTGGTACTATATAGTGAACAGGGTTTATTTTAACGTGCAGTTCTACACAAAATGTGCAGTTCTAAACACATTTGTTCAGTTCTTAAAACACAAATGTGCATTCACCAATCTAACAAGAATAGCCTTAAAACAGTCTTCTCATTTAATCGTTACCCTTGTGGATGCTCCAGAAAATTCCAGAAATGCTGTCATTAATTGAGCATCAAAAATATAAACGTTTTCTGGGGGAGGACTCCAGACCCTCCTATTTTCCTCACAAATCACTTACGTGCTGGGGTAATGGAAAAGAAGGTAAAATTGAGGCGAGCGAAGCTCCCCAAGAGAGATTATAGTGGGAGAACCTAATATTCTTTTCTGGCTCAAATGCAAGTTTAAGGTTGTTATATATTGAATATCCATGATTCCCAGTTACATGTTTTCAGAACTTAAGAGCCTCTAGATTCAAATTGTTTTGGGGAACACCCCCTAGGTACCGCACCCAAAATCGAGTTTGTCTGGCCTTTCTCCAATTCTCCCACCCAACCACACCATTATTCTATCACCTCCTATATGCAGGTAAAAAGTCCTTCGACTCCCCCCCCCCCCAGTCAAACACCCGTTGCCTTCGTAACATCCCTATATATGCAGTTCTAAATTCTTCTTAAAATAAACCCTGAATTAGTGAAACATTTCGCCGAGTACCATGTTGCAGTACATAAAAACGCACAAGTTGTTACAGGTCGACTGCAAACAAGTTGTTACAAACCCGTTCACAAGCTGTCGACAAGTTATGTTCGCACTGCTTGTTCTTAGTTGTTGTAACAAGTTTGGAACAAAATGTAAACAACTTGTAACAAGCTTGATCATGGTATTATCAGATTTGTTACAAGGTTGTTCTAACAAGTCTGATGAAGTCATGATAGAACAAGAATGTTACAAGGTTGGCGACACAAGGCTGTAACAATATTGTTATATCATGACTGGATCATACTTGTTGGAACAACCTTGTAACAAGTCTGATAATATCAACAAGGTTGTTACAAGTTGTTAACAGTTTGTTCCATACATGTTGACAACTAGTTAACGTGATGAACCATGCCGCGATTACTAGAGTAAGAAAATAATTTTAATTCCTTTCATTATACATGCCTGATGTATTATAGTCTTGTATTTGGTGGGAAATAAATTGAATTGGGAGATGTATAGAGTCGTTTTCCTGTCAGTTGCCAACTGAAGTTGGGGAACGTTTATTGTAACTCATGACCTCTAGCTACAGTCGTGGAACTTATTAAAGATGATGTCCACTCGTGTGCGCATGTGCGAACTTTGTTTACCTTTTGAACTCTTATATTTGTAAAATATGATATACTAACTGAATATCTAACACTTTTCTGGTTCGCCATGCTTGGAAATGAATATAAACTCTACGCTTCAATTCAAAACAGTTCGAAAAATGCAAAATTTGTGCAATGTTTATATCTGGGGGTCCCCCTTTGTTATGAGCAGAACTGATGCGCAGAACGAGTGGACACCATCTTTAATAATTCATGAAGAAATCATGACTGTGGAGGAGTTTGTATATCTGATACAAAATCCTGCTGATTTACATAACCTTTAAGTTCAATTTTCTCACCAAATATCATTAATTTATTTTAAATTGTTGAAGAATACGAATGTTCTCAGCAAGACGTTCATTCGCGTCCTAATTCATTGTATCGGACATACAAACTCTCGCCTTCGGCTCGAGTTTCGATCTTTCGGAGTTTCGGTGTATCGGATACAACACGGCCGCTCATGTTGTATATAAATAGTACGTACGTATAAAGCAAGACAATTATTTTGGAAAACAAGACAGGTTGTTCATATAAATATTTCTGGTTGGTTGAGTCCACTGTCTCATTTTCAAAGTATTATGTCACGCTTGTTTCGCTTCTTGTCAGAAAGACCGGTTTTCTATCCCAAGTAGTAGATTAAGGAAAAAGCTAAATTGACGGATTGATATCACTAGTTTTACTAAGGTAAGCGATTTTGTATCATAAATCATAATTGTTTAATTAAAAGCCGATCGTTGCGTATAATACACACTCTCATTATTTTACCAATTACACATGAATTTAGTCACAATTAGATTACAGTATCTGAATAAGCTTATTTTTAATGCGTTAATTTGGCATTCTTGTTTTCTTACTTATTTAATCGCAGTATGCATAGATGGCTGTAAAACAAGTAACAATTTAGAGTTGAGAATTATTTTACTTTCGCTAATCATTGCACGTGTTCCCGCTTTATGAAGTTAGTATATATATATATATGCTAGGCTGGATAAGTTGGAAATAGGAATAAACTAAAGTTTCCCGCGTAGAAGCCAGGCCACCCTAGTTTGTATATACCAGCGCTGGTCTTTATTGGAAGGCTAAAAAGACAACCATGCATTGACTGTATAGTGTATACTTGTAGTTAGCCACATATAGGCTAGCTATATAATTCGTAAATTTTGTTGTGAATTTTGTCAAATTTATGTTTACAGGTATATTTTAAAATGAGGTTGACTCTTTTTGTTGTCGTCATGGTTGCCTGTTTCTCTTGGTCTCTTGCAGGTAAACTAGCTCACAGATATGTCGCGTTTTGATTTTTTTTACAAAAATAATATATAAGCGACAAATTTCTGTCAATTTGGATTCGGATTTTGTGAAATTAGCGGTTGTAGTATTCATCCTTTTTTACCTAATTGTAAAATTAATCATAGTAAAATAACTATTTTTAACCTAGATTCTCTGTAAAGTTTTGTTCTACTGTTCAACAGAACTTGTTCAATAGAACAGTTTTAGAAAGGCTGGTTCAGTTTACAATATCAAGGTTTCAGTAGGAATTTTGCATAGGCATTCTAAGTTTTGAAGGATTTGTAAGAAATGTTTGAGGGGACTGAAGCACTGTTTAACACTGAACCGGTTCCCTAAAACATTTCTTACAAATCCTTCAAAACTTAGAATTGAACTATATGCAAAATTTCTATACTGTGATCACAGAAATTTTGATAGTGTCAACTAGTCTTATCCAAGAACCCTAATCGTAAAATCTATGGTGCCAAAGTTTCACAAGTCTTTCCTATTGTGGTCGCCAATAGCCAATTACTACTCTGGTTTTTTGTTCACAGGCAAAAAATGCGAAGACAAAGAGAAAGATAAATGCAAGGACATGACTCCAGCTAAATGCGCCAAAAAAAAGCCAGAAGAATGCCAAAGAAGTTGTCGCATGTGTGTTGAAGGTAGGATGGATAAATAGATAACTGATAACATACCGTAAACCTCCGAACATAAGCCACCCCCCCCCCCCAGCCGAATATAAGCCCCCCCCCATGTATATAAGCCCATGCCATGGGTTTATTATTGGACAGGTATTTATTAACGCAGCGACTGGGATTCCAACAGCTCAGACGAGTGATGATAAATATTGATAGAAGGTTCCATTTCGCTGACCCAGAACTTTCTATTGCATAATGGAAAGTTTCATTGTATAGTGGTAGTGGTTTTATATATTTATATTATAATTAACTTAATATTCAATAACAGTGACTTAGTTTGGTGTTAAAACGAATAATGAATATTTTCATTCGTGCAGTGGTACTGTAAGAAAATATTTTCAATTCACCCAGTTTTACTTGGTTCAATGGAACAATTCCATCTTTCATCTCATAAAATGTACAATATATAATTTCTATAAATATACTTTTCTTTCGTAAGTGTACAAGTAGTTAGTAAAGCCCAGGGCAAACTAGGAAACATTGTTGCGGAAACATTGTTTCCTACCAATGTTTCGCCATGTTTCTAAGGGTGGGCAAACACTAGGAAACATTAGTGAGAAACACAGGGAAACATCAAATGTTTCTAAATTTGCTAGAAAACATTTTGCTTCCTGGAAAGCAAATTTTGTTTCCGCAACAATGTTTCCACGGGTGGGCAAACAGGGAGACATTTGAGGAAACACTGAGAATCACAAATGTTTCCACAACAATGTTTCCTAGTTTGCCCTGGGCTTAAATGGTGAGTTTAAGCAAGCGACTTTTTTTTAACACGGACGTCACGTGCCCAAAAATTGGTATAACTAATTTTGGCCGCATCATGCATATAGCGCTGGTATAAGAAAGCAAAAATCTTAGAAATCTTATGTTTTGTCATATGTGTTGAAGATTACCACAAACTCATACAAACACAGTTTTTAATCCAGCCCCCCCCCCCTCGGTAATCTGACGTCCTTGTTGACCAAAACGTCGCTCGCTTAAGCTCCCTAATAGGTCTTAATATACTCTCAGAGAGTGTTTATACTGATGATCTTGGAAACATGTGACTCTCTTATCGCAAGTAATGGTGATCTTTATTGACTGATCGTTGAGTGATTTTTTCAGGCGATAAAAAGTTCGACACTACTCCACAATGCTGGAATGGAGTTCAAACTTCTGGATGTGGTCAATGGGCTACACGGTGCCCCTCTTTATGTAAAGGTATGATTGTCTAGTGTAAAAAGAACACGATTTCATAAGGTAAAATCAGCCACAGTTCATTATATAGTACTTGATGTATTGTTAAGGTGTTAATTTACTGATTAATTGGCTTTAGGCTATAATCCTTATGCTCGATATGGAACGAATCAACAAGGAACATATGGACAAGGCTATGGACAACAACGGCAAGGCTATGGACAACAACAACAACAACAAGGCTATGGTCAACAACAAGGCTATGGACAACAGCAAGGCTATGGACAACAACAAGGAGCATATGGACGACAACAGGGAGCATATGGTCAGCAACAAGGAGCATATGGACAACAACCAGGAGCATATGGACAGCAACAAGGAGCATATGGACAACGAGCAGGAGCATATGATCAACAACAATTTGGTGGTGCCGCAGTGGCAGACGCTGGTGCAAGTACCCAAAAACCTGCAGGTGCTCTGTTCCGCAAACACAATTTAGAGAAAACGAAAAAAGAACATCACAAGAAGTCCAATCACCACCACCATCATCGTCATCATGATGACGAGTAAACTGGACATCGTTGCTGACATGAAGTAAAATGGACAGGCTGTGGTTACTGAGCCTTTTTCATCTGCGATCGTGGCAGTTTGCTTCGCATGATAATTATACTTATTCAGTGGTTTACGACAACTTATAATATTTCTAAACAATTGATTTGCAAGTGTATATTATATTCAATGTGTATATTATATTTAGTATACATATTATAATATACAGTGTATATTATATTCTTCCAATCATTGTATATTATATATTATATTTAATGTTTTTGATGAGTGTGAATTGTATGTTCATATGAAATATATATTAATTCATTAAATATGGAATCCTATTACATAATGATTAAAACGCTGTTTTTTCTTGGCTACTTGAGGGTCGTTGGGGATGGACCAGAGGCAGGTTTTCAAGATGGCCGCTAGTTTTTAAGATCATTAAAACGTAAAAGAATCAACAACCAGCCACTTGCAACAATACTAAACCTTACCCTACACCTAACCCAAATTCTAACCCCCATACTAACCGGCCTAATACTAACGCAAACTCTTATTTCAATTTTGGAACCATCTCGTAAACCGGGGGCTACCTTTCGTCCATCCCTCTTAGACATTACCCTGCCTTGGGTTGCAAGCCAGCGCTCAGAAAAGTTTGATTTTGTTCTCCGAATCTCCGATGTGCGAATCTGTCTGAAAGTTTTATCACACCAAACACGTGTTACAAAACATTGTTGTATCACATCAGTCAGTACCTCCCGATTCATTCAGATCTTTGGGCAGTTCTTCCTGGATGACTAATGCAAAGTAAAATCGCATGTATAGAAATTATTCAACGATATTAGTAAATTCCTGATTCAAATCCGCCATCTTGAATTTTGAGTAAAACTCTTTAAACGTATCTATTTTTCTAATCCTTAACTTGAAATCACAATTTTTATTCTCACATACATAAAACTAAGGGGCTGATTACATGAACCGGGCCAGCCCGGTTAACCGGGCTGAAAAATGTCACGAAAATCTTCCTTGGGCCGCAAAATGAGTTTTGAGTCAGGTTTAGGATGATTTTGCATCTATACTAAACCAATTATTTATCGCTAATTTATTTTACGCTAGTTTTAAAACCACAGTAAGGTCCTAAACAAACGAGTCAGCCCGGTTAACCGGACCAGCCCGGCACCATGTAATCAGCCTCTAAACAAGTAAGTTAAAAAACATAATTTTTGTTGGACTTTCTTTACTATGGTGACAAAGAACGGGATACACCATTTTTTTGCGGGGCCACTGTTTAATGTCCACGCCCTGTATTAAACAGATGATTCTCTTTTCTGAAAGAAAGATGCTGTAAATTAATTCGGCCTTCTCTGCCTGGAAATCAAGAGCCCAGTCACTCCTTAAATAAGAATCCGTGTTGGAATTGTCGCATTTGGTGGCAGCGTTGAGAAAAATTAAGCTTAAGTTAGCTTAAGTCAAGATGTTTAGAACACGAAGACATTTATTATATTCTAAAAAAGAACAAATCAGTATTACAGTAACATTTAATAATTACATCACAAAAATCATTAGATGTTTATCTTTTGGCACTAAAGCCGTTTTTTTCTCTTTTAAAAAGTTTTTTCTAAAAATATCATGCCGATTCAGGGTGGTAGAGTTGTTTGAAATTTGATTCACAATTTTCAAATACTATAATTATATACACATTCCAGTAATTTAATGTCTCATATTTTAACAATCGCACAATGGCTGCCAGCCAAGAAAGTATTAGTCCGATCCAAGACGTGAAAAGGCCGTCCCACGTCCACAAAATTTATATTATTTAATATCCAGTTGGTAACTTCGTATTCAGTTCTTCGTGTATTTCTTTTCCTGTAATTTAAGATTCTTGACCATACGGCTAGATGCTGAAAGAGTTACAAAATATATAATTAATCGTGCTGTTGAGGGGCGGACCATTTGATTTTTAATGGAGGGGGGGGAGGTAGAAATTTATGCATGCAGTTTGGCTCTAGCGAACACCTTAGATATCCTCTTATAATAACACTGGAAGAATAAGAGATTTGTCAGTTTAGAAGTTTAAAAGTGATATAGCTATCCGGTATAAATGAAGTTAGCTTAGCTTAGGTTTGCGTCCTGTTGTAGCTATGAATCAAGTAAGGGAGTTCGATCCTTTGAAATAAAATGAACTGGAACGTAGCCTCCAACCGTGAAGCCAAACTTGAAGGCCAGTCCCAGTCTTTTCACGCATGCGAAGAGCACTCAATCAGTCATTAGACAGATTTAGAAAAGACGACGCGACCTCAAAGATGTGTGTCTGGGTCAAGATTCGGCTTCAAGAAAAAGGCAATTCATCTGAAGGTAGCGTTCCAATTCATTTCAATGAGGCAATGACAATAACACCAGAAAACTGTGGATTGAGAGGGATGTCACTAACTCCCTGTTGGAGGGCCTTCGCTCGAAACAAAGTGTTACTTGTATTTTTCAGGTAGTTGAATCCCTCTCCATCCGCAGATAGTAACAATACCTAGTCTAAGTTCTTTGTATGTTTGCATGGCAATAAAACATATAATAGTTAAGTAAAACATATAATAAAACATATAATAATTAAGTAAAACATATAATAAAACATATAATAGTTAAGTAAAACATATAATAAAACATATAATAGTTAAGTAAAACATATAATAAAACATATAATAGTTAAGTAAAACATATAATAAAACATGGTGTTTCCACAAACAAAACTATCATAATACCTAGTCTTTTTCTTTTCTGCTGCTGGTGGCGTCCCTCCTTCGTACTCGCTGGGAACATCAACACTGAGGTCATCTAGTACCGGCGCGGGGATTGGTGACGGACTCTCACTCCTCACGACGGGGGGTGCTTGAAGTGGGGTGACTTTTTCTTCATCTTTTTCCTTCCGCTGTTCCTCCTTTTCCCGGAGTCTCGTCTCTTCTTCCTCCGCGTATTCTTCCGTAGCTTCCTTTAAATCTTCTTTTTCGTCTTGAGTGAGAGGCGGGGTTGGCCGAGCTGTAGGTTTGGCGGGTCTAGGTTTAGGCTTGGGACGAGGACTACGGCGCTTGGGGGGTTTCGCGTACTTCACTATGTAACGACGGCGTGCATATTTTTTGCAACTGTATGGACATAGGTTTCCCATCTTTTCTTTCTTAATTCCGCAAAAGCCAGCTTTACCCCACGTCGGGCAGCGTTCATCTTGGTCTGACATTGACGGGTTACCTGGTTAAGAAAATGATATGGTAGGAATCTTGTTAAGGCATGTTTGCAATTTTTAGCTGCGATTTTCGGGGCGATTTCGTCTTCCGCATGGGGCCGGTTAGCACAACTCTAGATAACCTAATATTCTAAGCAAACTTCCTAACAGCTTGTTTATAAATTTGCAAATATTTCTTCGAGGAGTTTTCTTCTCCGACGTTATGACCATTTGCGTAATAGACTAAATTTTGATCTAGACAAAAATTTCATCACAGCTTGAAAGAGCATCACAAAATTAGTAATATTGCAAGGTTTCGTTGCGAAATGTTGTAAAATGCGGATAATATAGCCTTGCGAAGTTTGCAATTTCCAGTCATTTTAGATTACAAACGGGAAATTGACAGCCCGATACGCATTGAGGCTGTCAATTTCCCGTTTGTAATCTAAAATGACTGAAAATTGCAAACTTCGCAAGGCTATATTATCCGCATTTTACAACATTTCGCAACGAAACCTTGCAATATTACTAATTTTGTGATGCTCTTTCAAGCTGTGATGAAATTTTTGTCTAGACTTGTTGAGTTCAAAATTTAGTCTATTACGCAAATGGTCAATTCAGCTTTGAGCAACAGGGCCTCGGATGAATGTGAACGAGTTATGAATGCTCAGATGAGGGCAACTATATTCAAGACATTCGGGAAACACAGAGAGAGAAACTTGGAGTAAATCAACGCGTTCTCATTCATCAGAAGAAGAAAATTGCACTAGAAATCGCAGCAAAAATTGCAAGTGTATCGATGTGAAGACATTTTCGTGAAAGGGCACTTTTGAATTGATATATACTAAGAGATGTTTGCAAAACATCGGGAGTTGAACTTCGCATAATCATGTTTTTTATTTATTGGATGATAGGGGTGTGAGGGGGTTCTCCGCCAGGCGATTCATTCTTGAAGTCCGATGACTGCATTTCTTGCGTTTTCTGAAGCAAATTCGTAAAAGAATTGCACTAACATTTCTGACAATTTGCTATTTCGCAAAGGCAATCCTTTAAATTGAAAGGGCACCTTTGCCCCCCTTGCCCCTCTTGATAAAGGGCAACGGGGGCGGCTGCCCCCCCCCAGTTCCGGCGTCCCTGGTTGTACTAACTGACTATTCTTACGTGAGATCCGGTAAAACCATCTTTTATTGGTCCAGTATTGGATACTACAAGAGGAAACCTAAACTAAAGTAACTTTATTTATACTGGATAGTTCTGATCTGTCGGTTCCGTCTTAAACTCACTTTCCCTGGATATCTATAGTAAGCCAGTCATTCTTTGGTGTTACTGCAGTATAGAAGAAAATCTTATCCACAGTGCAACTGAATGAAATTACAGTCGCACAACTACACAAAAGAATCCAGTTATGCAGAGGTGAAAGACATATGACACACCAACCACTAGGTATATTTCTAATATGAGTTTTGTCCCTCACTACGTTAATAAACGTCCGTAGCACATTCTTACCGCTTTCACAAATTTCACAACTTTTTTTACAAACGTCCATCATGAATACCGAATAGTGAAAGCAATCACCATTCTTTGCCCAGAAGCGACATTTTGAATGGTGGTCTTTGCATTGTTTGCTTATTATCTTAGTTTTCTGTTCTATAATAAAAATAGAGATGTATCGGGTCATACTTGGAGTCTTGGTTTATAAAGTTAGAAAACGTCCTAGATGTTATCGGATGTTATCAGCTAACGCGTGTTTGGTAGTTACTTGACACACAATTTACTCAAAATGCTTGGTAACTTTTGTTCCAGACATTTTATGGTCTACGAAACGCTGATTTCATGTATTTTAGATATGTTTTATGATAATCTGAAAGCGGCCACAGATTTGGTGTATTTTATGTCACAGATGAAAACATCGAGAGGTTACACCTTCCACCAGTTTCTCCTCAGCCGTTTGAAAGAATTTCAAACTTAATTGTTCCTGAAGAAAGGTGTGTGTGTGTGGGGTCTGGATCCCCTATTTCCCCCGTGGCTATACGCCCCTGGCTATAAAAAGTAGTAGAAACTTTCCTGTATATACACACCTTTAGTGTAAGGGCTGCAAAAACGACACGCCAGTATGCAGTTGTCACTCATGAATTTGCGATTTAGCAGACATGCATTCGCTGACTGTTTCAACATTTTAGCACATTCCAACTTTGGCTTCCGATTCCTGCAATTTTCTGACTTTATACTTTTTGCATCTATAAAAAAATATTCTTCATATTAATCGTTGTGGGTTTTGCCTGAGAATATATAAAGAAAAAACGAGCTCTTCAGTACAAAAATTGATCGTGTAATCTTTGCGGTTAGAGAGGATAAATTCTAGACTAAAGAGTAAAGGCTCGTTTATGGTATACACGATATGCTTACATGCTTTCAGGTCAAAGTTTCCTATAACGCTCTTTTTCAATGGAGAGACTGTTTCTTCTAAATTAAAAACAAGCATAAATGCACTGCATTATTTTGAATTGTTAACGGCACTGTTGATTTGTGGCATTTTCCAGGGAGAACACTTTAGAACTGATAGTGGACCAACCGAGTTGTGAGACTACTCGGTACTCTTATCAATATTCAATATTAAAAACCAGTGACATGGTATGGCATACCTTTCTTTTTCACCAGATGTAATTTCTTACAGAGTACGTTTTCGCTGGAAATAAATATGAAAAAGACTCCAAGTGCGATCCAAGAAAGTCTTGGTGCCATTTTCGCCTAAAATATACATGTAGACGGGAGTATGTATTGAGCAAAAACACGAATTATTTTCCTAATCTAAGGACGTTTGTTTGCGAACGTGCAAACTGTAAATCTGCACAGCATTCTACACCAAATAGATAAATTGATAAAATGTTGGCCATTAATCAGTACAAACGCTTGCGATTACAAATGGACGCTAGTTTTGTGCTTCAGTTTTATTGCATATTTAAAATATTTTTTCTAGTTATATTGTCGTTAAGAAAACTTGACAGTCACAGTTACAAATTCTGCGCTTCAAAATTATTGGGCCAAATAATAAAGCTTATAATTGAAAAACTTTCATAGTATAGACAATTGGATTAAATACATTTTAAGTTAGTTTACACAAGG